CTTTCCCCCTCTCTCTCCCTCTCCCCCCTCTCTTCCTCTCTCTCCCTTTCTCCCCCCCTCCCCTCTCTCTTTCTCTCTCTCTTTCTCGAGTATCCAGTTCTTTTCTTCTCACCACCGTAAATGCCAAGATCGAGATGCGGAGAGTAGAAACGCCAATTGCGGCGGCTAGTAAAAACATTGCATCAACACAAGAATTTCAACCCCAGGGTGCTCGAACCCGGACCAGTCTCCCTCAAACCTCTATTCGGCACCGTTCTTTAGGGTATGCCCCATCACGCCAAGTCAGTCGCGGAACCTATGAGCCGTGTACCAAGGGAGGTCACCCACCTTCCTCCGCTGGACATGTCGAGGCCTCCGGTGAGGATCCCTACGAGACCGATTAAAGTCACCGGGAAACCTCACGTAGCAAGTATAGAAACTACGGAATTAAGAATAAAAATCGTCAAATAAACTATTGCATCGTCTTTTTTTTTGTTTACCATTCCCTTTCCAGTTCTCCCAACGAGGGAGACGCTCTAAGGGATGACAACGCTCACACTGGCGAGGGCGACCCGTTCATGATTATGCAACATGATTCCTACATAGGGCGCCTCTGATAGAGCTCCTAAAACGAACCGGGAAGAGGTCACGTAATAATTGGAAACTCATTTCGGATGACGCATCTATTACGCTCGCTCATTGGAGTCGAGGCTCAATCCCATGCGCCCTTTCTCTCCGCGGATCCTCGCATCTTTCATCAATGTCCGCCAAAATGGGCCAGAACGTGACAAAGCATTAATTTGTTTTTTATGAAAATCATTTCTGGCGTCAATCTTTTGTGTAAAAATTCTTCTTCATTACTTTGAGGTAACGTAATTAATCCGCTGTAGGAAGCAACACATGAAAAAATTTTTACGTTCCACTTCAAAATAATGATGAAACTCTATCATTTACGAAAAGATGTGTCAAGTAAGTTTAAGAATACCCTATTTTTATTTTTTTTTAATTAACTATTTAATTAATTATTTAATGTTTCGTTTATATTTTTTCATCGCGCGCCCGTGCATTGTACAGTTCGTATATACAAGTATATATATATATATACCATCTGATCAAATTTGACCCGGACTGGTCCATTTAAACCGCGCGCGTAAATTGAATCGGTAAAAATTTTTTTTTT